TCATGGGTTCTTAGAAGCACAAGAAAGTGGGCATCTCAGGAGGGGGGATGGCGTCAGGGTAGAGTCTGCTGTCCTGTCACCTATGATCCTTCAGGGTTTCTCAGCCTCAGCACTTTTGCCCAGGTAATTCTGTGTGCAGGGCCTGTCCTGTGGGTTGTGGAATGTCTAGCCTGGCCCGCACCAGGTGTGGCAGCCAAAACGCCTCCAGAGCGCCAGCATCTGCTAAAAGCGAGATCGCGCTGGTTAGAGAACTATTCAACAGTTTGAGCTGAAAATATCCAGTCTTGTACGACGTGTCGGTAACAGCTGACATACTTGCTTAGTTGATGTGGTTTCTAAAAAATCCTTTTCTGCAAGTAGAGGCTTTGCCACGTGAAGTCAAAGACGGTCCCGGAGTAGACGTGGTTCCAGCTCTCGCTCTTCTTCCCATGACCTATCAATCTCTGTCCCTCTTGCAGCAAATTGCAATAGCAAGAGAGGGGGACTTGCTGACCAAGGAGCGTCTCTGCTGTGGCCTGTCCATGTTTGAGGTCATCCTGACTCGCATCCGGACCTTCCTGGACGACCCCATCTGGCGCGGGCCCCTGCCTAGCAACGGGGTTATGCATGTGGACGAGTGTGTCGAGTTCCACCGGCTGTGGAGCGCCATGCAGTTTGTGTACTGCATCCCTGTGGGGACACACGAGTTTACGGTCGAGTGAGTGAGCCCTGGGGGTAGGTGGGGGCGGAAGCAGGCATTAGGCCAAGGGAGGGCCGCATTCCTCTGGAAATGGACCAGAAGCTTGCTGAGCTGCTTTTTAGCCACTCCAGGGCAGTTCTTTCTTGACGTCCCAAATGTGGTACAAAATCAGGGCGCTAGGAATCTCTGAACCCAGAGAAACGGGCAAGTCACATATGCGTTTCTCTGGATGGAGCGTCCACACCTTCGTGACGTCACTGTGGCCAGTCCGTGATGTAAAGTAAGGTCAGGAAGCACTGCACGAGGAGAGCTCCCAGAGGCTAAGGAGCCAAGACCACCACCCGCTGCACAGCGGCCCCTTCATGGCCCTTCCCAGCGGCTGCAGGGACTGGCCACGTGGGTGAAGGGCCTGATGGCTGACAGCTGGTGAGAGACCTGGGGGCTCCTAACCGCCCTTTCGCCCGCTCGTCTCCAGGCAGTGTTTCGGCGACGGGCTGCACTGGGCTGGCTGCATGATCATCGTCCTGCTGGGGCAGCAGCGGCGCTTTGCTGTACTGGATTTCTGCTACCATTTACTTAAAGTCCAGAAACACGACGGCAAGGATGAGATTATCAAAAACGTGGTATGTGGAAGTTGTACCAGAGCCTTTTTATTTATTAATGATTTTTCTGGGGACATTTGCCATCCCAGTTAACATAAGTTGCCGGGAACTAAAATTTCCTTCTCGTTCCCGAAATAGTAAATGGAATGGGTAAGGCAGGCTGGCAGTTGGTATATTGATCATCCGTTTTCCTTCTTTCCAAGGTACATAGATTTGCTCCACTTTGGAGAGCTGTTTACCACATGCTATTACAGATGATCATATACTATTCCAGTCTCTGGGCTTCCTTTGTTTCAGCCAGACTGGTTTTGGCTGCTTTTAAGATATTTATTGTTGTCTTCTTGTGTATTCTTTGTAACTGCCTTCATGAAAATACTCCAATACTATCTTTTCATACATGCTAGTCTATCTTCAGCTGTCCGTTTTCTCCTTTTGGGATTTTACAGTTGGGCAGGTTCACATCTGCCCAGAATAAGAATTCTGGTCTTCACATCTCTTACCCTACTGTAGCTGTTTTCTATTGCCCCAGTAACAAATGTCCACAGACATAGTGATTAAAAACACACCCACGTATTAGCTCACATTTCTCTTGGTGCAACTTGGCTCAGACTCTTAGCGTATAGCCTCAGTGGCCAGAATCAGTGTCCGAGGGACACTGGTTCCCCGAGGCTCCCATCTCATTCAGATGGGAGGCTGAATTCAGCTTCCTGGCAGTTGGGAGGATGAGGCCGTTTCTTGGCTGTCTGTTGTCCATCACTTCCGATTCCTATCCTGCCGCTGCTAGAGGAAATTCTCTGCTCACCTGGCGAGTGGATCCGTCGGGGTAATCCAGCATATGCTCCCTATCTTCAGACAGTAACTTAACCTCCCTGGTGGTTATCAAGCTCTCGCCAGCCACTGTGACCTGAGTTCAATCCCCAGCCAGGGAGCTGACCCACGTGGTGCAGCAGACCTCTCATCTTCCCGCTGCTCCCCTCAGCGGTGCGTTTCAGTAGATCTGCCTGTTCTGCTCCCCGCTCTGTCTCTAGTGAATCCTCTCACCCCACACCTGTGGCCTACATCCCATTCTTGTATGCATAAACAAATAAAAATGAATCTTAAAAAAAAAAATCCATAACTGTAACCATATCTGCAAAGTCCCTTCCCTTTTGCAATGGAAGGTAACATTTGCACGCCCCAGGTAGGTTAGGGCATAGGTACTTTGAGGTGCCACTTCATTTCCAACACGCTGTTCCTTGACTCTGAGTTGTACCCACAGCACCTTCTTCAGGTAACTAATGATTTAAAGACTTGATTGGGTTCTTCACATCTTAGTGGTAACTGATAATCTTGATCCATTTTTAAAATTTTTTTAATTCTAATAGGGCTACCTAAGGCCTGGGGTTTGTTTCCTTGTTTTTTAATTTTGCAGGCTCTTATTTGATTGAATTTGCTTTTCACTGATAACTTTCACTAGTGTCTCATCTTCAGGCATGTTACTGTCTAGGACGACATTAGCCTAATGTGAGGATCCTAGTTCTGAGTTTGCATGTTGCTCATCTTGCTCGGGGCTGGGCACCTGTGGGCCCAAGCAGGTCCTGGCTTCTGCTTTCCCTCCTGTGTATCCTTTTAGATACGAGTGCTGTTTTTCAGTCTGTGCCCTTTTGTGTGTGTTCTTTACCCTGTTCTAGCATAGGACAGTCGAGCAAAACACCCTACTGAGAACACCTGAAACTTAGTTTACGGACTCTTCCCCACTGACCCCATTTACCTACCCAGCTTTTAGCACATGTTCTTAATGCCCGTGTGTTGAATGAGGCTAGGGCAAGACTCCTTATGCATAAGAGATGGCATGGCAACAGTTTGCAGTAATTTTGGAGAAAATATTAAAATACTGATTTTTAATTATGATAGCCTTTGAAGAAGATGGTGGAGAGAATTCGCAAGTTCCAGATCCTGAATGATGAGATAATCACTATCTTGGACAAATACTTGAAATCGGGCGACGGGGAGAGCACGCCTGTGGAGCACGTCCGCTGCTTCCAGCCGCCCATCCACCAGTCCCTGGCCAGCAGCTGAGGGCTTCTTGCCTGTCCTTGAGGACTCCCCGTCTGACGGCATTTAACAGCTACAAGGGCATGTTTTCCTTTCCGTAAACTACGTAGTGAGATTTTTAGGGGCTATTTTTCAGTATCTCTGTGCAAGGGGGTGCTTTTCAATCTCAAAGCTTAATTTTATAAAATTGACTTATTTTTCTAGACTAAAATTGTATATGCTTTTGGTAATTAGAAACGGACTACTGGCTGCTAATCGTTGCTATCATGTTCTTACAAAGCTATTTTTCATTTTTCTAAGGAATGTTCCAAAAGCTAACTGTGTCATAAAGTGCTGCTGGGCTCATCCACTCCTCCCTTAGCAAAGGGTCAGTTATGTTTAAGATTTAGGGACTTACGTGAGCAAGTTACTACCAGCTAATTGTAACCCTGTACTGATTAGAATTAGTTTCTGCTTAGGGATTTTCTGGTGTCTTTTATGAATAAGTCCTTGTTCCCTTCCCTTTTTTGTGTCAAGCGTTTGAGAAAATAGTGAATGAAATTTTTTGACTCCAACTAAACCCAGTTGTGACAAAACCTAAATTGTGAGGTATGATTTAAAGGCTAAAGAAATAAAACTAATGAAACCTCTTGTGTTCATTGCTTTACTCTGAGCCTGTGCCCAGGACTTGGACAGGGCTTCTCTACTTACCTGAACGCACAGGTCAGGCCTCAGAGACTGAGTCCAGGTTACCTGCGGCCTGGAGAGGAGAGACTCTAGCACCACGGTCCAGGAGCATCATGCTTGCAGCACGCCACAAAGTCTGTGTTGTCTGTTCAACCTTGAGTTACGTGAAATGGAACTATTTTTTAACTTTGCTTTCTTTTAGGAAAAAAGCTGCCTAAATGTTGCTTTAGGTGAAGTGAACTAATAACCCCGGGGGCAGTATTCTGCTACTACAGATTAAGAGGTACTATCTGTGCTCACCCTATGCTCAAAGTAGAGAGTTATGATGAACTATTAAGGACTAATTTAAATAGCTCGTATTACTGAGTTTTGTTAAGACTTAAATATGTAATAAAAACGTATGTACAAGACAATTTAAAGTGCTGTGAGATGGTAATTAAAAATTTATTATTAATCTCCACTTTCTCAATTAGGGCAATTATCACCCTCAAGGGGGTTAAAGTTGGTTTTTACTCTTTTATGTTCAAAGCACAGATATAGGTACAGTACAAATATACAATATATCTGTGGTATTAATATTACACGGGATGAGGCAATTATAAAAAGTCTAAAATGGCGCCTTTGGGGGTCAATAATAATAGGGAAAAAGGTCATTTGTGTCATGAAACTTAGAGACTGTCAGCTCTACCCTGATAAATCCAGTGGCAAGCTGTGTGGGCTGTTAGCCACTGATCACCATGTCAGGTCCCTACAAGCCCCAACCAAGGACAAGGAGTGTCCAGCAGTAGCTAGTTATCCAGCAGGCTCAAGGTCAAGCACTGTGGCCTTGGCTAGAAGCAGTGGAGTGGGAAGAGCCCATGTTCTCCCACTACCCAAATGCATAAGAATTTTCTTCTTAACTTTTCTTTTAAGGGCCATTAATTTGCTATGCATGGATAGTTGCGAAGCTGCTTGAAGGTCACCGTACAACTGTAAATTTTTTGCATGCTTGAAGTTTTCCGTAAGTATTTTCATGGATGATTTTATAAGCCCAAAGTAAATAGCGTTCCAAATGAACTTTTTAAGGTAAAATACTTGGCGCAAAGAAGCCGTATTTTACAAACATTTTCTAAGACTTGTACTGCCCTCGTCTTCTAATTCCCAGAGTTGTTAGAAGAGCTGAATGACTGACTGGAAGCCATGATAATATTGATGTGAAATGGTAATCAAGCTTCCCGTATCAAGGTATTTATCAGAGTAGCCAAAAATAAGCCCAGTCATGCTGTAAAGCAGGACTCAGCCACCAGATGCCATCTGGGAAGGCCAGAGGTGTGTGCGAACAACACACAGCCTAAGCCATATTCCCATGGGTGGCTTCCTGCTCTTTCATAAATGAGTCTCCTTCGTTCAGTAACATAATTAAAATCACTGAACAGGGAGTCATTTTATAAATGTAAGTTACATCGTACACTAAGAAAATTTCTTTCTTTTTTAAATAAATAGGCCTTAAAACAGTCAGGGATTGATGAAGCGGGGATGACAAATGTACATTTCAGACTTTCATTACCAATGAAAAAATAAAGCACTTTTATAGACTTAAAACTCATTAGTGCATTTAGATTTTGGTGAAGGAAAATTTTTAAATACCACACAATAATACAATGTTAATAGAAACTGGCCATGTACTGAGGTCATTTTAGTGAGCTACCATCATTTAAATATAAGAAAAGTAATTTCTTGGTCCAAATTAGTGAAACCTTAAAAAAGATTGTCTCTGGAGAACATTGAGGACAATGCTTTTTCAGAAACATTCTGATACTCAAATTCACTTTATAACAGAATTCTTGATTAACCTTTTAATTACATCTTTCTCAAAAAGCTGTCAGATTTCCATTTCTTCGAGAGACATTTTCACCAGTGTGTTGTTCAATTCCACAGGTTAAGCTTTCTTCGTTATTATTAAGAACTTCATACATATGAGAGAGATTGCCATTCACTGCTTTTTCGTCTTTTCGAAAAGACACAGGCAGGCTTGCTAGACTAAAGCTGACGTCTTTAAAGGCATGCAACAAGAATATTCCCACAATGATTGTGAAGAAGCCACTCAGAGTACCAATGACATCATCAACAGGCATATCTTGCCACTCCTTAAAAAGAATAGCTGAACAAGTTAAAACTGAGGTCGTAAAGAATACATAATATATTGGAGTCACGATGGAAGTGTTGAATATATCCAGTGCCCTGTTCAGGTAATTGATCTGTGTGCTCGCACAGACTATAAGGCTAAGCAGCAGAATCCAGGCCAGGGGACGCCGCAACACAGGCTTTCCGGCAAAGAGCTCTTTGATGGCGATGCCCAGGCCCTTCACACAGGAAACCGAGAATGCCCCAATTACAGAGCAGATGGCTATGTACACGAGGATGTTCGTCTGTCCATGTCGAGGCCCCACCACGCAGATTAGTATCAAGGACACTATCACCACAAGTGTAGCAAAGACCACAAAACCTAGAGGAGGCAGAGAAAAGCTGTGTTAGTCAAAAGTTTAAGTGCTGAAATTAAAAAAAAAAAGACTTGCTAGGGAAGAGGAAAGACATTCCCTAAAAACAAAGTCCGCTCCTTTTGCCCCAGCAGGAGCATGTTAAAGCATGCTTCATATTCACAAACTATTACACCGTGAAGATTTTTAGCTAGCACCGTATGCCTCCTGATAATTGTATCAAAGAAAATGGAGACTGGTTGGCTCACAGCCCTCCACTGGTACAGAGTGCCTCGATACCTCTCAGCAGGAGTCTCCAACCCCAGGGCAGACACCATCAACGATGGGGAGGAAGCTAATGGAAGCAACCGAGAGATGCCCTTAACAGGCGGCACCTTACGGACGCTAAGGAAGAGCAGGCATTGCAAACCAAGTTTCCTAAAAGGGGTCACATTTTAAATATTTGGGGACAAACACTGGGGTATAGAGCAGAACAACGAGAGCATGTGAGAAATACTATTGTATTTCATTGTGACAATTGAAGCCAGCATGGTTAATAGTACTGGCCTTGCTGAGACCCTGGCCAGGCTCTTTCCTCAGCAGTTTACATGGGTTAACTTTTTTTAAAAGATTTATTTATTTATGCATACAGAACTGGGGTACAGGCCAGAGGAGCAGGGACAGTGAGAGGCTTCACCAGAAACAGAGTGGGGAGCAGAACAGGCACAGCAACGAAATAGACTGCTGAGGAGAGCAGCAGTCGGGTCTGGAGAGGTTTGCTACACCATGTGGGTCACCTCCCTGGCCGGGGATCAAATTTCGTGCTGAAGCAGCTAGGGCTAGCTTCATGGTGTTATACTCAACTCCTTGCGCCACCAGTGAGGGCCTTACATGCGTTAACTTTTAAGCCTCACTGCTACCCTGCAGCATAGACAGTATCATCTGAATTCTAAGATGAGAAGTCTGAGGCCTGCAATTCCATGAATTTACTCTGCTCCAATCCCAAACTCCACTAGTAAATACCAGTAAGATTTCTGAAAATATAAAAAATGATGACGAGGACGACAGCAACAGTGAAGAATAAAATCAATCAAGATTGCCAACAGACAAAACTACGTGAATGAAAACAAAGGAAAAAAGCTAAATCAAAGAAACAATCTCACAGAGTCCTGGTACTAAAGTCTGTAACACCGGGACTGTCCACACCTGCTGCCAATCTGGTGTGTGCTTGGGAAGTGCTGGACAGTGAACTTCATGGTATGTGTTTCATCACAATAAATAAAATTAGAACAAAAGCAAGCTCTTGGAATTGAAAATAACAGAAGTAAAAATAAAGGGCTAGAAGTAAAACAGCACAAAAAGACATAAATGTTAAAAATAAGAGGAAAAACTATATTTAAAAATTGATCATTTGGGCCCACCCTGGTGGCACAACAGGTAAAAGCGCAGCTCTAAGAAGTTAAAGCCACTTCCGCATGAATTTGATCCCTGCCCCGGACGTGACCACATGGCGTGGCAGACCTCTCCTGACCTGCCCGCTGCTCCCCTCATCCATTTGCTGTTCTGCTCCCCACTCTGTCTCTGGTGAAGCCTCTCACTGCCCCTGCACCTCTGGCTTGTACCCCAGTTCTGTATGCATAAATACATAAATCATTTAGTGCAAGAGGAAGGAGACTGTCACACAGAAAACACAGAGATTAATGTCAAAGGAATAATTCAATTTGTTCAACATGAATTTTCAAACTAAAAAAGATCCTAAACTAAGTAAAACAAACAAACAAAACCTAACACAACAGAGGCCTCTCTAGTAACAGGGGTTAAAGTCTCAGTGCTATCAAGCTACCCCTAGCCACTGCAGCACAAGTTTCATCCCCAGCCAGGGAGCTGACCCACATGTGCAGCAGACCACTCCTGTCTTTCCCCTGCACCCCTCAACAATGTGTTTCTGTTTCTCCACCTGTTCTGGCCCCTATTCTGTCTGATGAATCCTCTCAGACCGTGCCCCCCTTCCCTGGCCTATAAATCAGTTCTTATATTCATAAATAAAAAAATAAAAGTATCTAAAACAGGGCCGTCCCTGGAAGCGCAGCATTATGAAGCTGTCTGAGCCATTACAGCACGAGTTCGATTCCCAGCCAGAGAGCTCATTAATCCACATGGCACAGCAGACCTCTCCTGTCTCGTCCCCTGCTCCCAGCAGCAGTATATTTCAGTTAATCTGCCTGTTTTGCTCCCCACTCTGTCTCTGGTGAGTCTTCTCACCTCCCATACCTCTGGCCTGTACCCCAGTTCTGTATGCATAAATAAATAAAACGTTTTAAAAAAAATGTGAAAGGATCCATCAGAGACAGAGTGGGAAGCAGAACAGGCCAACTGACGAAGTACACTGCTGAGGGGAGCTGCGGGCGGGTCAGGAGAGGTCTGCTGCGCCATGTGGGTCACCTCTAGAACAGGGATCGAACTCGCGCTGAAGTGGCTTTAGCTTGTTAGTGCTGTGCTTTAACCTGCTGCGCCATCAGGGAAGGCCAATAAATAAAATCTTTAAAAAAAAAAAAAGTACATAACAACAGATACAAACTGTGACCCACATTTGGGCGTGTTGAGTAATTTCAGACAAAGGCAGAGGATACTCTAACTACAAAAGATGACAACATATAAAAGATGAAGAATCAACATTAGAGACAAGACAATCAAGTCAAGGTAAAATGGAGCTATTTTGACATATACAAGGTCCCAAAAATCTCTTCTGTCTCTCTGTCTTCAAGAGTGGCTGAACCAAAACTAAGGAGCAAACCCAGGGCCAGAACAAAAGATCTAAGAGAAAATAGAAAGGGATCTCCAGGATGCTGATGAAACAAAATCCATGACAAGTGTGCCAGAAACGCCAAGGCCCCTCTTTAGACAGAAGACTGAAACGCATGCTGTGGCAAAACAGATTTCCAAAGGAATACTCAGTGTATTTTAAATTCCTGAAAGGTGAAAGACTACCGAGGAAGAGCTTTTCAGCGTTTCTGATACGTTCCGTCATGAACTTCAGCTATTAAAAAAAAGATGAATTCTTACCACTTACAACCATATGGACAGAAATGGAGGGGGCTGTGTGAAATGGGTCAGAAGGAAAAAAACAAATACTGGATGGTGTCTTTTACATGCAGAATATGAAAAACAAAACAAAGAGTCAGAAAGAGCCAAACCTATATATAGCAAGCCCTAGAAAACTACTAGAGGATCAGGAGAGCAAAGGGAGGGAGCACAGTGGTCAATGGTGGAGCACAGTGGTCAATGGTGGAGACACAGGGGTCTTGGCGGTGGTGTGGCAACAACACCTGAGGGGTGATCCTTTACCTCTAAGTCATACATAGTGCTGTAAACGGACGTGATCTCAGTTAAAAGGTTAGTGATAATACCCTAAACGAAACTAACCGGGCATAAGGAGATGTCTAAAGTCAAGGAACAGTAGTAACATAAGCAGATTATCTAGAGACAGAGTTAAAGAATAGAGAAAACAGGGAATTATGGGTAAGGAAAAAAAAACACTGATTTTTTCATAATAAATCAGGTAAAATAATTTACCTCATTATGTAACTAAAGGTTAAAAAGTAAAATATTGTAGGACTAATAAACTTTCCTTTTAATTCTTACCTGGATCCCCAAGCTTGTGAGACATTTCATCTAAGGTCTCGATCTCCTCCTCTTTTGGGGCATGAATAACCATAACTGTAGATCCTAAAATACTTAGCAAACAACCAATTTTCCCATGAAGATTAAGTCTTTCATTTAGAAAGTATGAAGAGAGAATGGCACTAAAATGGAAAGGAAAGATGGAGAACATTAAAATAATGAGCAACTTTTTTTTTCTTTTTTCATAAATATCAACATAACCTAGAATTTAAATTCCTAAACTCAAAAAGAGTATTATAAGCCTATACAGATTCTGGCTTTCAGCTAAGGTAAAGAAAATACATGTTCATTCATAAAATGAAAGTTTCTAGGGGACTGCCTATTTCACTATACATCAAGCCACTATAGTGACCATCTTCTTCCTATGTCAATATGAAATTTACAATAAACAGCACAGTTTTGTACAAATTTATTACCTAGTTAAGATTTTACATCTAAGCCAATGTTTAAAATTTGTTCAACTTTAATTTATCCCTACTGGTTGACACATCCTTCTTATTATGCCTATGTGATTCTTTATAATTTGACTACTAATTAAGTCCTCAAGTTTTAATACTTTATAGTTTGTTTTAGCCAAATCAAAGATCACAGTGTAAGCTTTTAAGAATGACAAAATATACAGAAAATTAATGGTAAAACTTACGTACCATGGTATATACCCTTACATATGGTATCTTGAGAAATTATATAACATCTTTTTAAACATATATATGTATATGTGTATGTATATATAAATACAAGTATATATAAGTATAGATATATATATATAGGTATATATATCAACTATATATATAAATAAATGACAAGAATGCCTCTCAGTCACTTTTGAGAACAGTAACCAAAATCCAAGTCTCAATGTGGGTTCAGTTTCTAAGCTAACCACTAAAACAGCTTTTGTACAACTGCTTCTTCCAAACTGCTTCCTGAGGTGAGTGTTCACGAACCCACTCATCAGTGATTTTCTGTGGCGGGTATAGAAAGCTGTTCATCAACAGTCACCTACAAACCAAATGATCAATATTGTCACAGGCACATCCTAGAATTTAAAAAATTTCAAATTATTGCTGGTTCTAATGGCAAGCAAGACAGCAAAAAAGACCTTTCTCCCACAAACTGGCAGCTTACCACGCACAGAAAGTAATTTTTTAAAAGCACATTATTACTAAAAAAAAAATTTTAAGTCCTTAAAAGTTGTTTCATTTATGCTTAACATGTATAATCAAATGGTGCTGAGTAATTTTCATACTGAAATACCAACTCTCTGTGCACCAGAAGCATGATGTCCTTACCTTACTAAGACACTGAGCGCTCCTAGCGGCGTCACTAGGGTGGCTGGCGCAAAGGCGTACGCAGCGAAGTTGGCCACCTCACCTGCTCCCACTTGAAGACGGACAACAAAAGAACTCTCAGCTTTGAACATTATTTACTCAAAATGGAAATGTGTGCATATCGTTATATACTACTACTTCAATTATATTAGGTAATTCCATCTCTTCTCCCACCTACTCATAATGGATCTCCTGCAGATTATCAACATTAAAATACAAACCAATTACAAACAAGATCTGTAATTTTTATTGAAGAGATCTAACTTACGCTACAGATAGGTTTAACAAAATTTTCACAGACATTCATATCCTAGGACAACAATCACAAATCAATTAAAAACATGAAAGTATTTCTCAGTACTTTCACTAGCTCCCCTTTATTTAAAAATTATCGCCCAAAAATATCTTCAAGGGTCCCTATGTGCCAGGTGCTGTTCTAGGACTTGAAAATGCATCAGGGCAGCAAAACCATGAAAACTGCTTTCATGAAACTTTTAGTGGGGAAGATAGACAAATGCATGTCCAGTGGCTCAAGGTACCATGAAGAAAAGCTAAGGGAGGGAAGGACCGAAGGACCAAGGTATCACTCTGACAGGAAACTTGACCGTGGGCTACAAGTTGGGTTTCACTGCCAGCTGTCTGGGGGAAGCTTCCCATGCAAGAAGCAAGTACTAAACCCTTCCTGAAGACAATGTCTGCCATGCCTGAAAGGCAAGGAAGCCAGTGACAGGCAGTCACGGCCACTTCACACAGGAGCCCTGTGTGCAGTAAAGAATTCCCTCAGCTAAAAAGTCACCACAACATTCTCTATACTTACTTGACAGCAGTCCAGCCCACCACAACCATTCTTTAAGATATGCATGGCCACCTTGACCTGTGAATGAAAAAGATTTCACTTCTTTGGAAGACCAGTAATCTTCTATAAATTATGCCAACTTTCAGCAGTGATGGATAAAAATATCTCACTTGTTGATTATTACAACTTTAAATAATGGTCTCATGATTACATAAGAGAATTTCTCAGATAATACTTTATCTGAGAAAAGGAAATATGAGAATGTTAGAAATGTTTAGGTATCTATACTATTGAATGAAAAAATTAAATCAATCCTTATATTCATCATGCTTCATTCTTTCGTAAGCTCAGCTTCCATAAATGTGGGTGAGCTCACTTATGAGGAAGCACCCTGGGAGAATGCGGTCCTCATGTCTAGGGCTCATCAGGATACACTGCGTTCTTTCTCACTGGAATCCCCCCAACCAAACTAGTAATAAAATCAAACAATCAATACTCAAACCAATGTTCATAAGAAAAAACCAGCGCAAGCCAAATGACCATGGGCAACAGCGCCGGCCTTAGGGCCAACAGTGAGGATTTATTTGGTCAAGCCGTCCAGGATAGTTCTCTATTTTGTCCCCTAAACTCCAGTAACGGCTAGTTGCTTCAAGATTGGTCGATGAGGTTTGGTCATATAAAGGGCATAGAGGTGCGGGGAAGAGGGTTATTTTCCCACTGCCAAAGCAGGTCTCCCCATTAGGTCAGAACCACATTTGGAACTGAAGCAAAGACTGACTGAGCGCATGTGACATAGCACACAGAATGCTGGAGTTGTGAAGGCACCAAATGAAGAAATCAGAGTGAAAGTCAATCACCCCCGGTCTCGTGACTCATCATCAGCTTCTGGGGAAACAACTTATACCACCCTCCAGCAGTTCACTGAACTGAGAGTCCTCTTCAACCCAGGGAGGTCTTCTTTCCTTCCTGCCAAGGAGATCATCAGGAAAACTGTCTAAGGGAAGAGTCAGAACTGCTATTGTAGACGAAGATCCTAGCCGTTAATATGACTGATTCTATTCCTACTTCTCTAGAAATCTATCAAAATTTAAAGAAAAGGCTAGGTACTAACTGGGCTTCCGTCCCTCTTTCCACTGCTTTAAAACTCACACAACCTCTTACCATTCATTTTTCTCACTATAAAGTTGATGCCTGATGCTCTCCACACGTCTACGAGCCACCACACAGGCCCGGTATGTGCAGGAGTGAGATGAGCTGTCAGAGCCTGTGCAACGCAAGACACTGTGTCATGTCAGGGTCACGTAGGGCACCACCTACCTGCTCTCATGGAGCCTTTCCTGGCAAGCCGCAGGAGGCCTTTTTTTTTCAAAATGAAACTCCCTCCAATGAAAATGCTGGAACTCATAGCCAATCCCAGACCAATATAGAAGTCATATTTTCCACGCCCCTGGCTCATTTCGTTTGTTACTCAAGAAGTTCCTGTGAATTACATTGACCACAGAACAGAAACTGCTGGTGCTGGAGGCAAGATGACCCACTTTTCAAATCTACAATGCAAAACAAATGCAATTTTCAAAGAATGAACATGTAATTCAATTTTTACTCCATTTTTTTTCTTACAAAGGAAGACTGTCTTCTTTATTACCACAACTGGGAATATATTTAAATTTCATGCTAAACAAGATGGGATCGTGATATAAAAACCATCTTTAAAAACAAAGACATTGGTGGTTTCCAGAGACGGAGAATGAAGAGTGGTGGGGGGAAGAAGGGGTGAAGGTAGACAGGGGGACAAACTCCCAATGAGATAAGCCTATTGGGGTATAGACGGAGAAGGCAGATTCCACAGTATTCTCAGCAGAGAATGAATGTACAGGCGGTGGTTTGCAGGGTGTGGTTCTGTGGGCCTTTTTAGAGAACAGAGGAGGCCCTGATTGCTAGAGGGCTCAAGTCACAACACTGGACGGAGAGCAGAGGCTTCCCAAGGACAGCAAGTTTCTTCCCAAATGTCAGTTCATGAACTCTGCTGATAAATGAACTAAAGTGTAGAAAAGCAAAAGGAAAAACTATTCAGCAATTACCTGCCAGTCCAACTTTCTGCCATATCTTGAGATTTTTAGAACCCCAATTTAATGAAAGCTAATCTGCAATTCAGTCAGGATCCTCGCTGAAAAGCCAGTTGTTTCCATTCTTTCCATTTTCATGTTACAAAACTCACTTTTAACCAAAGCAACCTTTCTCTCCATCTAGTCCCTCAATTACTTTATCCACCTACTCAGATGGAATTTGCTGAACATATGCTATGTACGTAAATTTAGATTAAGGTGTATGGATAAAATGACAAAAGCTTTTAATCTTCAATAGATAAAACAGTTAAATAGGTGTGGTGAGTACTGAGTTTGGGAAATAGTATCATCACACTAATCAGCATTTCAGATGAAAGCCACAGTTCTGCCTGATGAAATATTCAAGACATCATGAATTGCTGGCTTGGTCGAGTATCCTGCTTTGGGCAACCGGAGGCAGGGAGAAGCGACAGGTGCCCATTCCAAGGCTGTCTGAAGAGGACCCTTCTACTGTTTGTCCTTTAGTCCTGGGCTATCACCACCAGAACAGCAAATTAAACCAGAGTCATCACTGCTGACCTGTGAATGTGTCTCACTGCTACAAGCTCCTGAGATGGCTGCCGGCACTAGTAACAGCTTTCTATGAGTAAATGTAAGATTCCTATCAGCTTTTCTAAAAGAAATGGGGACCACTATTAAATGTTAAAGACAGGTGTCAGGCACATCAGGGCTCACTGTATTTATTTACGTTTGTATATATTTGGATATTTTTATGTGAAGACTTTTAAACATTCCTACAGTGCTCAGGAATTGCAGGGATGCCAATCTAGAATCCACTGGCAAGACCCAAAATCAAGGTTATGCATAATCTAGGTAATACTGAAACAAGGAATTTAGATAAGGCTCAAGTAGAGATTAGCCCATCTATTGAAGCCCTGAAGGTCTGACTGAGCTCCTGAATGACTGGGGAGAGTACAGCTAGCATCCCAGGGCCCTAAGGCAGGAAATGCACTGAGATAAGCACTGGGTGGGGTGTGGAGTCCTCAGTACTGCCCCTAGCTGGATGTGTGACCTTGGAGGAGTCACAACCTCAACAAACAGATAAGGAGAAAGAAAAGATAAACAATCTGGAAGGTCACTAATTATTTCAATGTAAGCTATTGCCTTCTTTATGTGCCAAGTTGGTAGCCTCAAGCCTCAACTTTGGCTTTTCTGGAGTAGGCCTGGAAAGAACCCCATTGTGTCAACCAGTCTGTACAGAGGGCAACACAAGGCTGAGGAGGAGGCAGGGACTGGGGACATCATCTGGTTAGGGGCAAGGATTATTTCTACCCACCAGTAAGCACCCAAGTGCCCCTACCCTGTCTCTACCACACGCTGTATCATCTGTTTAGCTCTGTGCGTGACCCAGGCTCCCTCACCAGACTGTCAGCTCCTGGGTTCCTACATCTGTCTTACTTTGTTTAGCCTGTGCACCTAGCTAGTTCAGCCTCAAAATAAACCTTAACGTGTTTTCTGGGTGAACACAGATAAGTGAATGGTATTCAACTGACACCAAAACAAAGTTGCATTCTTGACTGGCCATTCACAAAACCACTGTCCATTTTAAGTTATTAAAGCATTCTGGGAAGAGACAGTACTACATACAAATGAAAATACAAAGATAAAAGTAGTAAGATCTGAGAAAGTGAAAGTAAAGAGCCCAGACATCAAACACTTCAGCCCACAGGGCAGTTATAGCCTAATAAGCAAAGGTCACCTAACTGTCCTCAGAAAGCAAAGCTAATTATCTATCACACAAGTTCTTCTGAGGAAGTGACTATTTAATGTTGTAGGGTGCCTAAGTCTCCCTTGTGTAAACTAAACAAAACAATTTATAGTCTGAATATTCTGGAGTCAACAAAATGGAACTTTATGATCTACAAAGTTCATACCTAAGAAACAATTCAGATTTATTGTTGCAATGCCAGCATAATGACAGGCTCACAAACCTGAATTCAGATTTACATAAACCCACATGGCCATGATGTGGCAGACCTCTCCAGACCTGCCCGCTGCTCCCCTCAGCAGTATACTCTGTCAATCTGCTGTTCTGCTCCCCACTGTCTCTAGTGATTCCTCTCACTGCCCCTGTACCTCTGGCCTGTATCCCAGGTCTGTATGCATACATAGATAAAACTGCAATTTTATCCTAAGGTTAAAGTTCATTGTTTCTACCTTTATTATGTTTATCTATGAATTTTAGACTTGTTTTACATAAAGTTTAATGATGCTATTTAAAATCTACTTTCCTTTTATCTATTTATCATGGAAGTATTCCAACAGACAGCAAGAAAAGGCCTCTTCTGACCCATGGGCTTTGGTGAGTCCCCACAGTGAGACTCCAGCCATTGCATTTGGCAACACAGGATACGGCACTCTTCAGAGATGTCACCTCTGTGCAGACCAGCCACAGCCTGCCATCCTCCTGCCTGACACTCACACTTCAAGCGCTGCCACCAAGACTTCACTAGCTCTAGCCCTCAGGTATTTTCTCTCCTCTTTACTTATTTATAGCCAGCCTCATAAAATTTAATTCTCAATTACTGTTCTGTGTCAAAGACAAACTCTTTCAGGTCCCTTTAGGACAGTGTTTATCTGTCTGTGTGACTTCCCCACGAAAGGCACGCGTTTAGAGTAGCTATTTTGATTTGTAAGATTTGTTAGGTGACTCTCCTCCCTGCCTGCCTGTGCCTATGTGGGTGTCTTTTCCCCTTTCTCCTTATCCTAATGAACCTGTCCTTTTAAAATGTAAAAAAAAAAAAATTACATTTAGTTACCTGTTCACTGATGGAACTACACTACTTGGGCGGCGGGGAAGAGTGCTCAGTATGGCAACATAAAATTTGCAAGCCAAATTGTAAAGCCGCCTCAGCCACAAAAACACATGAATAAATTCTCTCATTTGACTTACTGCTTGAAAACAGGACACCAGCGCGGAATGTCCAGAGGGGGATGAGTTGGTTCAGTACTCTCAGACCCGGTAGTGTCCTGCTCCCACGCCCTGTAACTGAAGGTCAGTGGCAGCTGGGAGAGCCTGAAACAGATTTTTTTAATCTTAAGGACTGCTAGGAGACAGGGTCACGTGTAAAGACAGTTAAACAAGAAAACAGTTTCACTGCAACTGGATCCCCAAATCAGAAGTGACAAACTTCAGGTGGTAATCTGTGCATCTCACCTCAGAGGAACTAAGACAGCTGCCACAGCCCCAGCACACACACTCACTGCCCAGAACTGTTGCATACATGTTGCTGTTCAGTAAACATGTACTGAACAACTGCTTTGTGACAAGTGGAGTCATGAACATGATCAAAAGTGCCTGTCCTCAAGGAGGCCACTGCTTAAGTAAACTGGAAATAACCTAGTCAAATTTTAAATACACCTTTCAAGACTGATACAATTTCCAGCTTTTAAAATTGTAATCAACTTAATATACACAGCTGATTTTACTAATACTATATAAAAGATGAAATATATCTCAAGGTAAAACTGACATTGTTCCACCTGCTTCTAACATACAAGGAACACATAACTTAAGAAACAGAAAAAGAAGAGGACCAGCATTCTGACATCTGAGGCAAGTAAATGAAAACTGACTTTTACAAAATGATTAATAGCAGCCAACACAATCATCAGTTAGCTGACTTAAAAATTTTACTGGCTGAAGTACGTTTTCATAGTTTTGAACTTGTCGTACTTAGACAGTTCATGTTCACAAAGCTTAGTAAGGACCTCATCGAGGGCAAACAGGCACCAAGATGTCAGGAACTGCTCAGGACCTCAAGCAAGCGCTCAGCAGAAGCAGGTCTAAATCCGAGGCTCCTTGTCCTCGGCCTTCCCCACAAGCTCAAGAGGTGGAAGATGCTCAAACGGCAGCTAAACTCCTACTTGCTTGAGCACCCCCATCACCCAAACTGGACCCAGGCTGAGGACCACAGCTACCACTGCAGCACAGCCTGCATCTCCATGTTTCCCGCAACTTCAACACACGACACTCACACTGCTCTAGCAAACACTGCCGTCCACGCCTACTTAGAAACTCAGAATGGCTACCACTACTTACAGATATTAGTCTCGTGCAATTTATTAATTATTGAACTGAGAGTCTAGAGAATGTTGCCTTCCTTTGTGGCTGAGTGATAACTGAGCGCTACAGCTTAACCGTCTCTTGAGAAAGTATCATGTCACTAGCCCAGGAAAAGACCTGAAGTAGGATTTGTACAGAATGACTATCACTTGTGCCCCATCAGAAACCCCCACTGTAAATCAAGGGTTGTCTAGCTACCTATTTCGGACACCATGTGTCCTAGCCAAGGTCACACACTACTGCCATTCTTGTCTTCCCCTTTCCCTCCTTTGTATCTTTGTCTGCATTATTTCTTTCATCTTTAAGGGCCCCGTTCAAAATGCACCTATGATGATGCCCCGCTTTAATTCCAAAACCACTATAATCAATCTTCTTTGAATTTCCTAACCTTTAATCTACATCTCTTTTTGGACACTTTTCTGGCAGGTATTACGAAGACATGCATCAGTCAGTTGTAGCTCCCTATGGACAAGCGGTATGCTTGCCCATTTACTCAATAAAAACTTAAATGGACCAAAACTTCGTCCTTGTAGCGTTTACCTTGTGATGGAAATGGGGCAAGGCAGTAGAATAAATAAGGACATTAGATGGGAAAGTGATAAATGCTATGGTGAAAAGTAAAGCACGGTATGGGCATTAGGGAACTGGACTGGAGGACTTCTACTTTAACTAGGGGTGGCTGGGAGCTTAGTGGCCAAGGTGACATTGAGCACAGGCTTGAAGAGACGTGAATACTAGTGCAAAAGCACTGAGTGATCCAAGTATGCAGTTTTCTAGGACAAGAGAGAATACTAAGCACAACAAAAACTTAGATTCCAGCAACAGAATAGTGATTAAGAGAGTGCAACGAGGCTCTGAGATGGGAGGTGAAGCTGGAAAGGGGGTTGCATGTATGGTAATGGATGGAAGCTACACTTTTGGTGCTGATCATAGTGCAATGAATACATATGTGGAAGTATAAAGTTGCACACCGAAACTTCTGCAATGCCATAAACCAATGAAAAAGGGATGGAGGGAGGGATCTACAACTGAAACCACGAGAGCAAGAGTAGGGAGGATACCTCAGCAGATAGTTTTTATACAGCAGAAATATCCGGGTCCCTCCCTGGTGGCACAAGGGGTTAGGACGCAGTACTACAAGCTAGCCACAGCCACTTCAATGTAATTTCGATCCCAGACCCTAGAGGTGACCCACATGGTATGGCAGACTTCTGTTTTGCCTTTGCCCCCTGCTCCCCTCAGCAGTGCACTTCATCCATCTGCTCCCCACTGTCTCTGGTGAATCATCTCACCACCCTGCACCTCTCTGGCCTGTACCCCAGTTCTGTATGCATAAATAAATAAATCTAAAAAAAAGATATCCGAAAACTAGTATAATTATAGTGTAATTATTACTAGTTTGTCCTTGATGATTCATATGCATTATTTCTAATACATGCTACAAGGAAGAGAAAGCATCATTATCCCCAATTTATAGCTAAACAAAGGAAATCTCCCAAAAGTTAAGTCACATGCAGAGGACCACAGGGAAAGTAATACAGCCTGAAATGGTACCTAAGTGTCCACTGGACTCCACTTCCATTTGGGCTGCCCACATATTAAAACTTCAAGACTTCTTAGTCTTTATTTCTGCTTGATGTCCACTGTTACCTGCTTAGCTTTAATCCCCCCCAACTTGTCATTTGCTTTATTATGTTTAAAAACCAGTGCTTTATAAATACTACAGAAACTAAGTCTCCAACCCTAATTTAGCAACATTGATTATAAATTTAAAATTTAAACTTACATGTAAGTTTAATATGGTCTCTCTTATGAAAAAAAGGCTGGAAGAGGTTAGAGATGATTTATTCATTCTCATTTCCTCGTAAATAATACCCTTTATTCTCATTTAAAGTTTTAAACCCTGGCAGAGTAGCTCCGGCCTGGAAAGAAGAAAATACAGAGGTAGGCAAAAAGACTAGTGAAGTCACTCATTATTTCTACAAATTTCGTTACTAGCCTCCATATTCCCTTTATTACCCACTAACATAAAACCTACTCAATTGAGCATAACATCCTGTTTCAACACAGCATACTGCAATGAAAGAAAGAACTCTATTCTCTCGTATTTCCTCTCATTAAAAAAAAAAAAAAGACAAACTGGGCACATGATAAGGAACGTCCACAAGTAGAAACAGGACTCCAAGACTCAGTCCTGGAGTAAACGAATTGAAAAAACTCTGGTAAAGAAATGAAAGACAAGCCAAAGACCGAGTCTTGTACATCTTACGGCGAGAAGACTCGGTAACTTTATAATAAAGTTAGGAAATTGAAACAGCAAGTTCCAACTCACCGCAGCACAACAAAACCATTTAAATGCACTGAACGAAAGCGCGCCCGGGAACCGAGTTAGGATCCCGCAGAACTCACTGGCAACCCCCTGAACCGTGGACTGCCTCGCTGCAGCGCGCGAGGAAAGCCATCTCCGCACACACGTGGTTCAGTATCCCCAGGGAAAGGCAGGGCGCCGGCAGGGCCCCTAGCAAGCCCAGCTGGGAAGCCCGGCCCACAGCCTCTTCGCGATGGCCAGAAAAAGAGAACGTGCAGCAACCTCACCCCAGTCCGCAGGCGGCGCGCGGCTTCCCCCTCGCGATCCGGCCCGGGTCACCTCCGCTCACACCCCCACGCAGGCCGCACGGGCCACCCCCTTCTGCGCTCGCGCGACCAGCGCCCTAGTCTCGGTCCAATGGGAGGTGCAGGCATCCGGGACCGCAGACGAACGCGCCACCTCCTCCATCGGGAAGAACCCAGGGGAGCAGCCTCCGACGACCTCCGGTCCCGCGGCTGCCGGGACCGAGGCTACAGTCGAGGCGATCCTGGGCGCGGCCGAATGACGCAAGAGGCTGCGCGCGCATGTGCAATACTTCCGGTGGGGTCCCGCCCCCGCGCCCTCTACGGTGGGGTTCGGATTCTTCACCCCGCGCTGGTGAGTGGGAGAGCCGGCAAGGAGAGGAAGGTTGGAGGCAATATTTCGCTAGACAGTGTCTGCTGACCAAAGGGTCAAAATCTAAGTACTATACCGTGTGGCGCTTACTTAGAATGCGAGTTCTGCCCGCGGTCAGCAGCGACACCCGGGGAAAGTGCTCCGAGAGGGCAAAGGGCGGGGCTTCAGCGGTTAGGAGAGCGGGGGCGGGGCTGGGGTCGCGCAGGGGCGGGGCTGGGCTGGGCTGGGGGTAAGGTGCGGCTCAGACAGAGTAGGGCCCTTTCATCCCGAACGTTTGTGGAAATCATGGAATAGATGCGCTTGTAGTCTGGCAGAAGTCTGTCCCTTTTCATTTGGGGCAGAGATTTATTGTTCATGAAATACTTAGGACACCTGTTAGAAGACGCGGGCTGGTGAGGTGGGAACCTAACAGCAAAGGGAGCTTCCCAGACTCTTAACTCTAAGCTACAATGTCTCCGCTATCTTGCATTACAACTGGCAGCATGCTGAGAAGCAGAATTCCTGAAGGGTGTCTATTGGGAACTTAGGCAGAGCTGAGTGCCCATGTAGGACTTTAAAACATTGAACAGGTGTGCCTGTTGTCTTTTTCTGGCCATTTTTGTGTAGGAAGGACCACATCCATACAGGTGCAGGCTGGCCTATAAATACATTAATTCTCTAGCCATGGTTCCCTTGCTCTCTGTCCCCCCTTCCTCTGCTCCCCCCTTCTTTTCTCACTGTAAATGAAAGGATTATTGCAGTTTCTCCCCTATGTGGTTGCTTTGAATCATGTTCTGCAGTTGTAAGTGCATTCGTGAGAACCCACTTACCAGGTTATCCTCTTCTTTGGGATTTACTCTGTTTCACACCCACTTTAGATATCCTGCCTTGAGTCATCCTGGAATGGAAAAATTCCCCGGGGAGCCCCCCCACACCCAACCACCACCATCACCATGGTTTCCCCTAAAAAGAACAAAGACAAAGAGTAATTTAAAGAAGTAGGGGAAAACAACTAGAGAGATAGGCGATATGGCCTAAAATATAGATTTATTTCAATATGGATGATAAATCAATGCTTTGGTCATAGTTGCAAATGTCTTTTAGGGATGTGGCCCCAGCTTTTGACTGAAAACAAAACAGCATTATATGAAGTGTAATCACTTCTAAAATATATACTTATTAAGCTAGAAATGCTAAATATACCTGAATGTAATCCCACTGGAATATTATGGTCCACACGGCACAGCCCCTGACCATCTGCTTTTGGCATGCTTATACAGCTTCTAATTTTAAAGTTTTTAATTTTCCTTTGGGAACAGCTCGGTAGTATCTCACCATTTTAAGCATATGTCAATGATATGGTCCAGCTGTTTGATCCAAGAAACGTGAAAGCATGTGTCCAAGTCACTGTACTCTCTGTATAATGATGGAGCGATGCCAAGAAATAAAAGGGAATGAACTTTTGATACATGTTATCATGAAACTAAGTCTTAAAATAATTGTAACTAAAAGAAGCCTGACCAAAAGTGTAAATGATTACTTTTACATAAAATTCTGGGAAATAGAAGCTAAAATGTAGCCACAGGCAGCAGATGAATAGTTGACTGGGAGTAGAGGGAGGGAATGGGCTTATAAACCAGCAAAAAGAAATATTTGGGGTGACAGATCTCACCTGTCCACTGTGTTGCTTGTGTAGACAGATGCTTGTGTGACATTGAAATTTAACCAAACTGTGTATTTTACACATGTGCACTTTATCTCACTTATACCCCCATAATGCTGAAAAAATGGACTTCTTTGTCATTGTTACAGAAGTTTAGGTAAGGCTTCTTATAAAACATTTTTTAAAATTATGTATTAGTAAATCAGGTATTTTTCTCACATATAAGTTGTTCAGCAATTAACCTTAGATATTTTGGTTTAGTTACGACGACAGATGTCAGAAATATGAAAACAGCATAACAATCATCTTTTCTTCAGATCAACCCCATATCACTAGTTTAATTTGCCCTCTGTCCTTCCAAAGTAAATAGTAGCATTTCCAGCATTAATTAACATGTATAAAAACATAGGGGCCCTCCCTAGTAGTGCAACAGGTTAAAGTGCAGCACTGTGAAACTCTCCACAGCCACTGCAGCACAGAGTTTGATCCCAACCAGGATGCTGACCCTTGTGGCGTGGCAGACCTCCCAGTGCCTCTTGCTGCTCCCCTCAGCAGTGTATTCTAGTCAGCCCACCTGTTCTGTTCCCCAATCTGTGGTGAATTCTCTTACACCCACATGCCTCTGGCCCCAATTCTTATATGGATAAATAAATAAATCTTTTAAAAGTTATAAATGTTTTCTATTTAGTTTATTCAAGACATGGAAGACCTATAAATACAGTAAGGCAACACTTGAAAACATCTGTTAGAAAGGGGAGGGAAGGGAATTTAGAATGCCAGGAAGGAGTTGCCTTTTAGTATTTTTTTCATTGGTATGTTAGGCACAATAGTCTCCCAAAGATGTTCATATCCTGATCTTTTAGGAACCCATGACTGTGTTACAGAACAGGTAAAAGGGACTTTGCAGATGTGATTGGGGATCTCAAGATGGGAATATAATCCTGAATTGTCGGAATGAACCCAAAATAATCACAAGGGACACAGGCATGTCAGAGTCAGAGAAGGAGATAGCATCATGGGGAAAAGGGCAGAGAGATGCAACAGTGCTGATTTTGATGATGGAGCAAAGGGTATGAGTAAGAAATACATAGGTATAGCTTCTAGAAACTGAAAATGCAGAGAACAGAAACACCCCTCAAGCCTCCAAAAGGAATGTAATCCTGCTGACACCTTGATTTTAGCCTAAACCTGTGTTAGATGTCTTCTCTCCAGAGCAGCACTAGGGTAATGAATTAGAATTATTGTAAGTCACATTTATGGTAATTTGTCATAGCAGTAACAAAAACAATAGAGAATAAATTAGGGAAAGGAGAGCACCTATATCTCTTATCTTCACCAAAAATAAAAAGGCAAGCAGCCAGCCTGACCTTTCCTCCATCTTCAAGCCCATCATCTTTTTATTTGGATTTGTTGTGTTTGTTACTTGACTGGTTGGTATCTCTCCAGTCCTGCTCGCCACAGTCCAATTTCAACCCCAACTCTTCCAAATTTCCTCAGCTGTAATAAATGCTACTCTTTGAACTAATGGAAAAAAAAAAAACTATCTTATTTCTATTTGTTTCTTAAACTGGGCCCCAACTCTGCAAAACAAAACACCTTTTGTGGCAATCACAGAAGGTTCAAAATACAAGCATAATTGACATTATACCAAGGAGACCTCAGGAGGGAGGTGACTCAGCAACTGTGGAATCAGAGGCCTAAGTTATTGAAGGGTGGGGAGCACACTGATTTTATGTGCTTCTCAGAACTAGTGTTGGTGGAAAATACCAGATTCTTTCTTCATACAAAGACAGGAAAACAGAAGACAGGAATTGAATGTTCAAAATGCGCTTAATTTAGACCAGCAAACTAATCTGAGAGCCACCAAGTAGGTGCCAAAGAAAACCTTTCTAGGGGCGTCCTTGGTGGTGCAAGTCCCAACACTGTTGTGCAGCCTCTGCAGAATGAGTTCTATCCCCAGCCAGAGAGCTGCTCTCACCCCCACCCACTACCATGGTCTGCACCCCCACTCTTGTATGCATAAGTGAATTTTTTTTAAAAGAAAACCTAACATCTCATCTCTAACAGACTATTTTATAGTGAGCCAAATAAAGACAGTTAATTACCAGAGAACAGCCTTCACTCCAGGTGGTCAACAACTTCTGGGAGTCTTATGGTGTCCAGTCTCCCATAAAACTCCAAGAGCTTCTTGATTGACATCACTTCACTCCTGGTTTAGCTCTGTCTCTGACAAAGATGGTGTCCATCACTCTTCCAGGCACCACCTGGACTGGAAAGTTAACTCAGAGCAAAGAGGCCACGAGTCAAATAATGTTTGTATGTGCAGATTCCTGACCTCAGTGCATCGCCCTCCTCAGCCTCCTCCCAGCCCGGCACTAGGTGTAGAGCTCAGAGGCTGCAACCACCGCTCTCTAGCAGGCAGAACGGCCAGTTCTAGAATAGTAACCAACCAGGGCATGTTTTTGAGAATTTGGCACTTAACCCATTTCACAACCCCAAACACCTTAGGAAGTTTTCCATAGAAACATTCGGTGGTTTTTGAAAAGTTTGTTCTCATTTCTGTGTATATGTACTTTGATCAAAACATAAATAAAACCTTTTATACAAAAAAGGAAAAAATTTGCTCAAGTAAGAAATTCCTCTCATTTAGTGAAATGATTTATAGAACATTAATGAAGATTTACAGGATTTCTTTTTTAAAACTGGGGTTACAGGCCAGAGGCGCAGAGGTGGTGAGAGAATTCACCAGAGACAGAGCAGGGAACAAAATAGGCAGACTGACTAAGTACACTGCCGAGGGGAGCAGTTTGCTGCACCATGGAATCACCTCTGGAGCTGGGGATTGAACTCACACTGAAGCAGCTGTGGCTAGCTAGCAGTGCTGCATCCTAACTGGTTGTATCACCAGGGAGGGCTGATTTACAGGATTTCTCAAGACATCTGGATATTTAAAATGAGTTATGCTTCCTTCATGTTCTCTGGGCTAAAACCAGTGTTATGTACCATAAAATGTGTTTAGGTCACTAGCATGTTAAAAAAAGTATAGCCGACTGGGCCCTCCCTGGTTGTGCAGCAATTTAAAATGCAGCACTATGAAGCTAATTGCAGCCACTGCAGCACAAGTTCGATCCCTGGCCATAGAGGTGACCCACATGACGCAGCAGACCTCTCCTGACCTGCCCACTGCTCCCCTCAGCAATGTAGTTGAGTCAATCTGCCTGTTCTGCTCCCCACTCTTATCTGCCTATACCCTAGTTCTTGTATGTATAAATAAATAAATCTTTAAAATATATATAGCTAACTGGATGGTGAATTCCTTCACACATAATAAGTTTGCTCCTAAAATAGGCACAGGTAGGCATTTTCTACGTCATTATGAAGACTCAGGTCATTTATTTCTACAAAGAAAATGGGAAATACTTGATTGAGGAATTAGGGTAAAAAAAACGACTGTTCAGCTAGAAATAAGTTATTTTATTTTAAAACACATACAGATTAATAAATATTATTGGAAAACTTAATAAATAGCCTTTTATTTACATAAGGCAATTACAACATGCTATGCCTACTTCTATAAAGCAAAATATAAGTAGTTCTTAGCCATTGACAAGTGTGTGTGTGTGTGTGTGTGCGCGCGCACGCGCTAATTGGAAGCTCCCCTGACACATTTACATGAACAAAAACTTATGCAGTTGATCAACATTTTACATTGTTACCTAATCTTCATCCTTTTCTTAACTATATTCCATTTTAAAGGAAAAGAACAGTTCTTTTAAAAAGGCAAAAGACACTGAGGAATGCTCCTGGAAAACAGTACCCTTAAATTTTTCCAAAATGCAAAAACACTGACATGGGGGTGGAGGACAAATTATCATATTCTTCAAAAAAAAAATATTCTGAGCTTTTCATTGTGACCCTTTGGCACTAGTGGTTTGGGAGCTCCTGACATTCACTTGGGGTCAGGTCGTTCACGGTGGGGGTCGAGCTGCTTGGAAGCAGGAAGTTCAGCAACGTTCACTACACATTCAATCGGTAGAACAGATCAGCTCTGTAGGTCACTGAATCTCCTATATCACAGGCAAATGTATGCTGAATGTCAGAGAAGCTCAGCAAAACGTGATTTCTCAGTGCAGACTTTAAAAGTCCCTGTTTAATATTCCCTATTTTACAACAGAATATATAAAACACTTCCTCTTCAAACAAAAAAAGGGAAATTAAAGCTTCATGGAGTCATGCACACTTTACACGCAGTGCTGCCTCTGCTCACTCTGTGCTAGAAGCAGCGGGTCTGTAGCTTGGTCCCACGCGGATGGGACACGGGGACAAGCCGAGTTTCCACTGTGTCACTCAAGAGCAATCCCGAACGGTGCTCCCTTGCACGTACTGCAAGTGCAAGCTCTCGATCGAAAACAGATTTGGAGAACCATCCCACCCCTTTAGAGGTAGAGAAACGGAGGCACAGAAAGGTTAAGTGACTCACCTGTAGTTGCACAATTCAAGAAAAATTAAAGTACAGATAAATGCTTCTCCTCTGCTCAGGCTCTGAGCCCTAGACTGACTATACTTTTGATCATACGGGCCATTTGAAATGGATATTTGTTTACATAATTGAAGTTGTTATACTGACTACCAGTCTTTTTCTATGCATTTTTTTACGTAACAACGTTACATTTTCTTAAAATGTGATTCACTTGTTGCATCTAATAGCATGTGAGAATGCATCAGAATAGAATAGTGATACTGGGCTGAAATGCTCATTGCCATTCCTATAATTTTTAATCTTTTCAAGTATATGGTGGAGGTATAAAAATCTGGCCAGATGTGAAAAGGACAGACCTTTAAAATTCATCACCAGTGCAGTTATGAGGTGGAAGTGAGGAATGCAAAACATCGAGGTATTTTATATGAAAACTGTTTTATGCTCTAACTGGTGTGCAACCTCTTTCCGACTGGACTTAACAGACCTCTAGCTACGGCTATGAGTAAAACACCCGAAAAACTAACATGGACAAGTCCTGGGAGGGAAGGTGGATGCTAAGGAGTTATTTCTATTTTTTGGTCCCTGAGAAGGTGGCACAGCAAGATTCCTGCTTCGTGAGTGAACTACTTCCGTGGGGTCACACACAAAGGAGGACGACTCCTTTGGACCACTGGCCAATCAGTCATGAATACATTAAACGCAGAGTTTTCTTCTTTCTTCCGGGCTCCTGTTCAGTCACAGTAAGCCTCTATCAATATCAAACTGGCCTAAGAGGAAAGGCACATTCCTCTGCCTAGGAGAAGACATGCTCAGATCTTCTAGACTAACTGAGCAGCTTGGAGAAGAGAGAGCTCATCTCCAGGCCACGCAGTCCTGGTTTCTGTGTTTGTGCTCCCAGCACCTTGGCCTCCATGGACTGAAATGCTCGTCCACACCTGGAAGACATCTCAAGCAGGTACACATGCTTAGGAACCAGTCCCTAAGATGAGCACGGTCTTCATAAGGAGCTCAGTTGTTGCAGAGACAGGAGGTGGTAACATACATGAACTATACTCGCGGATATCAGAAAACGACATGAAACCCAAAGAAAAAGTAAAAATTAGCCTCCTCCTCCTGAAATGAGCTGCTGGAGATAAAACTGAATGTAACAACAAAGAGGCTTCAAAAGTCAGAATTAAAGGACTAGTTCTTATTGCTGAACCTAGTGCACCATAACGTTGTTCACTAGTAATCCCATGTACAGAGACAACAGGGCCATCTGTATGGTGATTCTTTCCCTAAGTTCCAGCTGTGGGTACTTCCCGGCCCACTGGTGGCAGGAAGCAGACTGCCCTTCCCTTCCAGAACCTTCTCCACTGAGAGGGAGCCCTCCTTGAGGATGGCAAACACACTCAGGGCTAAGCTCAGTGCTGGATTTGTGTGAGAGCTACCTCTGATCAAGTCCTACCTCTGATCAAGAGCAGGCAGGAAGTCATCTTTTTAAACGCAAAGACCCAGATGAGAAAACAAAACCTTGTCCAGGTAGAAGAGAAGAGAAATGGTCTATTAAATGTCCCAGTAGAATAAATCTGCAAACTGTGACCAGAAATGTGATTTTAGAGAAGGCATGAAATCAAGTAGCAGGTATTTTTTTCTTCATTTCAGCAGGTATAAAACTAAACAATACAGGAAGGAAGGAAAGTGTTCATTTGCTTTTACGAACCCAATGGAAAGCCACCTTCATTGTAGGCCTCTAAAACTCTCACTTTACAACTTTTTCTTTGCAATTCCCAATAAATGACAGAACATGAATTTATAAAAACAAACAAAAAAAACCTATAGTAAACCATAAGTTACATGCTCTGTGTTAAACTTGTACTGTAGGCTTTTAGACTACTCTGAAGCTCATCCCACCTTGAGATACAAACGATAACGTGAACTTGGTCCCACAGAAGGAATGTTGCGTATCCTATGAAAGTAATCTTATGGACAAGACACAAACTCAGTCCGACCGCTGCGGGGCAAGCAACTTTAAGAGGGGCCAAGCTATTAATACAGAGATTTTGTTTTACTCTAAAAAATAATCATAGGAAGATCATCAAGAAATTATCACCTCTGAGGATTCATAGGATAATGGATGAATTGTAACAGAGACCAACCCTGCTTAAGCTAAATTCTGCTTCTCAGTTGGAACAAAATACTCATGATAAATTCCCCTTATGCTGGTATTCTATGAATACCTCACTACCTACAAAACTACCTTTATTTCTAAAAGTATACTAATACTGCTATGTTATTTTTTCAGAAAGTTCAATAAATTAAGGCCTGTATTCCTAAAAACACTGATAAAAAAAAAACCTTCAAGAGCTGATAAGAAGAAAATGGAAAACAGGGCATTTTAGACTATGAGTTCATGTAAGATTACATGTTTTTTAAAATACTCTTGTCATTAGTTAAAGTTCACAAATCACTAACAACCCACGATCATTATGTGCACTTTTAATTCACAAAGGGAATTTGTTCTTTGTTAACCTTAGCCCTATTTTCTTCAGTCTCTTTGTTCAACTCTTTAGGGAATGACATTTTTTATTTGTATTTAAAAATGTTCTTTTTGCCTGAAAAAAGTTTTCATTAGTAATTTTCACTGACTATTACTAAATTCCATACTTCATATTGTATGTAAATTTCTGCTTCACCAAACCTACCTTACCCAACCCCATCTTTCAACTTGGCCTCGCTCCCTTTTTAGATAAAACACTGCACTTGAAGTGATCACTGGATAAAATATCTGCATCATTTTGTGCTTTGCTCCCAATTAATGCACAGGGAAGGTTGCTATAGACAAATGAATATGGATCCAACTATTAGCATAATTAATGGTTATTTTGCACTTCAGAAATGTAATGAGAGACTGGGTTCTCTGTCCTCTCAAACAACAATGAGATAATGCAATTGATTTTATTTTTGCTAGAGATTCTCTTGGAAATGCAAAACACCTAATAGAGACTAACTTAACTGAGTCCTTTAACTTGTTTCTGTACTTTAAGAAATTCACTATATGCTACTAAACAGTGACTCTCTCCTTTAACAGCTTTATTAATCAAATTAAATAATTTGTTTCTTCTGAGTGGCCACAAGCCTTGCAAAAAGAGAATGTGAATATATTTGTTACTGGATCCCAGTTACATAGATTAAGTGCAAATAAAATACCTCATGCTATTTAAGTCAGTTGTCTTTAATTGGACTATAACTACATGCTAAAAGGATCAATTTGCTCTAATGTAGCTTTTAGTCTTGACTCTCTTCCAACAACTAAATAGGTATTATTTCTAACTGCTTTAAACATTTATGTTTTGAATAGTGAAATATTAAAGTATAATTAAAGAGGTTGCATTATTCTATCTAAAAGAACATACACACAGTAATAGTCAAATTAAGTGAATAGTTCAAGTGATAAAGGCACTGAAATTGATTTGAGCTATTGGAAAGTCATCTTGCAAGTGGAACACTGCAGCACATTCATTCACTCTCTCTCTCTAGTGGCAACTGAAATTTCCTGGAGTGTGTGTTGGGAGTGGGAAGGGTGGGAGAGTTTGTTAGAGGATTAAAAACAAATGTATATACCTCTTATTTAGATGTGGTATCTGAATGTTATACATGCTTAAATCAAAATAATGCAACTACACATTTACTGTACAGAGTCAGATTTCAGGACACGAATTTCCCCCATTTCCAAAGCAATCTTCTACACAAGACTATCTGCTCCCCTCCAAAGACTACCCAGAAAGAGCCCATCTTTATTTTCTATTTCAGTAATGTTTAAAATGCTTTAAAAGGAAAGAGAATTCATGAAAGCTTCCAGGTTCATGGCAATGAACATGAGATTGCTCTCATCAGAGAGAGATGACTCCTGGGCAACCAGGTAGCACTTCCTCTTGCAGAGGGCTAAACTCCCTCCTCAGTGCTGAACAATGCCCCCCAGTGTTCAGCGGCTTACGCATTAATACACAGGCAACTCCAATACCAGATTCAGGACTCTTCTCCAGCTCATCAAATTAGAAGCCACACTTACCTCCTGTTCCTCGAGCCACCCAACCCCGCTGCATCCTAGTCTGTTTTCATGTTAGATTTGTTCATTTCCCCCAGGTTGAAATTGAACTCTTTGAACACCTGTATGAGGACAATCCCCACGGAGACGGTGGTGAAGCCACAGGCCATGCCCAGGAAGTCCACCAGCCCCACATTGCTCCACTCCCGGAAGAGGATGGCCGAGGCCAGCAGGACCAGCGTGGTGAACACGACGTAGTAGATGGCCCCGAACACGGAGGAGTCGAAGCACTCGAGCGCCTTGTTGATGTATCTGAACTGGATGATGATGCTGCAGCCGAGCACGGCCAGCAGCGCCAGGCACAGGCAGAGCGCGCGCTGGCTGGACGGGTTGTTGTGGAAGATGTCTTGGGCTGCCAGCCCGATGCCCTTGGTGGAAGGCACGGTGAAGCTCCCCAGCAAGGAGCAGATGCTGATGTAGACCATGATGTTGGTGGGCCCGTGGGCCGGGGCAATCCAGAAGATGAGCAGCAGCAGCATGAGAAGCACGATGCACAGATAGCCGACGAACACTGGAAAAGAGAGGGCTCGGTGACCAGGAGGGGTGCAGCAGGGCCCCCCCCACTCCACGGGCACCTGAGGCCAGGTGCAGCCTACCAACCCCACCGGGTTGATTCCAAAAGATTATTTCCTACATGTCAGTAAAAAGCCCTTTTCCCATTACTGACATTTTGGTAACAACCATCTTTTGAGATATTTTTAAAGACATTCAAAGGGTGGATTTTCTCACTTCAGAGTCTATTCACCAAACCCTAGACAGAATTCTCCTGGGGGTGGGGGGTACAGAGGGGTCATGTAAGGACTCTGCAGGAAACTGCAGGGGTGTGCTGGCTGCTCTAGTCCGCTGGCCGCAGGCCCGGCTCTGGGACGTGCAGACGGTTCCCCACAGTGAAAAGTCCTCCTGCTCCTGTTGCCTTGGACTCTAGGTGGAAGATATGTTTAAAATAATTAGAACCTATTTTATGTATAAAAGCAAGGAATTCTGGTATGGATTTAATACACACTGAATTTTTCAGGGCATCAGAAGTTACTTTCCGTTTCAGAGGCTCCCACTGTGAGCGGCAAGACCCGAGTGGCTGAGTCAGTTAACACAACACCGCCACGTCAGTGCATATTTGCACTTTCCCGATTCTCAGCAACTCCACACATGGTGTACACAGTCTGCTGGTTTCGGGGTCTTCTATGCTTACACCTGAGAGTTCTCAGGGGACTGAGAAGTAACCGTTATGTAATTCTTTATATTACAGACGGGTATTATGTTGGCAGCCTTGGTGGACCGAGACTGTATTCTTCTCACATCATAAAGCTGGACCAACAGGGCTGGAAATAGCTCCAATATGCACCCCAGCAAGCAGGAGATTACTCCTCCCCAACAATGAGAAAAGGAACGTGAGCCCTGTTCTTGTGGAAGGTTCAGGCAAGTGCTACAGGGCAGGACGCAGGAGGACTCAGGAACTGCTGCTTGGAGCTTGGCCTACAAAATGGGGAGGAGCATGGAGGGCAGAGAGAAGGGGGGGGGTTGGGGAGCGTACGGGGTGGGGGCAGCAGGGAGACAGGTGCAGGTGTGCAGGCTCCATGCAGGAAACGCAGCTGGGCTTTCTTTCATGGCAAGGGGGTACTATCAAGGGCTGTCCAGCTGGGACAGAACAAAAATGGTCATCGCACCAGAGTGTGATATGCCTCTGATGAAGGGGAGCGGCAAGGGACCATACCCCAAAGGCCAGCAGTGCAGAGCGACTGGAAGGAAAAGCGGGCTGAGAGGGGACAGGCAGGGGTGTGTGGACAGTGAGTCTCAGCAGTTGGATGAACGGGGCAGCTCAGAAAGATGAGGCTGCGGCCAGGAAGGCCTTTTCAGGGGATCAGCCTTAATTTGTTTTTTAAGAGAAAGCAGTACCCCTGAAAACCTTCAAGACTCTAACTTTACTTCTTTCTTTGTCAACCTTTTTTTCTCCCCCTTATCAAGCCCCTAAGGAATGATTTCATATATATTCCCCCCTAGTGGTTCACCCCTATAAAATTTTACTATCGCAGATACATATTAGACCCTTACACAGCATCCGTTCTCACAGTGAAAAATCTGAGTATTATTTTTGACTCCCCCAAACTTAATTACCGCCCTCCCTTGTTGTCTGTAGAGGTTTGTTTCAAGAACCTCCCCCCCTCCCCCGGCCGCTGGGCCCCCTATACCACAGTCCCATTGGGGAGGTGAGAGTGGGGAAAGGGGGGAGCCCTGTGGGAAGTTGTAGGGGAGCTGGGAGGGCTTTGCCACCCAGGCCCCTTCTCCAGGTCACACGTGCATGCACACTTGAGCTCTCGTGATCAGGGAACACGCCTGAGCAGGAATGGGGCTCAACCAAGGGACACTGGTGCTGGAGGGAGGACAGTGGGCCTGGGAGGATCTCGGGTTAGCCGGGACCCCTGCAGGCCCACCCTGGAGAAGGCAGCTCTTGCCACGATGCCAGAAAGGGTTACCTGGGTTGGTCAGTTTTTCTTCCAGCTCGGCCTGAGTGGTCACACTCTCAGATTTTGGGGAGTGGATAATCAGCACGACAGAACCTGCACAGCTTAGCAGACACCCCAATTTGCCCAAGATGTTGAGTTTTTCCTTCAGAAGGTAAGAGGCTAAAATGGACCTTAAAAAAAAATTCATTAAAGTTAAAATGGAACTATTAAAACAGTACTGAAGGACAGTGCCAAAGGACAGGTCAAGGTGGGGGACAGGTCGCTGTCTGTGGGTTCTCAAGACTCACTCAGGCTCACGGTGCAACTACAGTGGAGTTTATCTAACAAAGAGGAGGGTAGAGAAACAAAGAGTTTCCAAGGCCACCAGTGGCTGGCTGTCTCACCCCAGATGGTGTCCCAGCAGAAGCAACCTCTCAGAGCTCCCAAAGGCAGGCTTAGGGCCAGCCCCACTGCCTATAGGTAACCCTCCCCCAGTGCCAGCTGGGTTTGAGCTCAGCAACCCTTTAGGCCACAGCAGCAGGAGGTTCCCCACCTGCCCCCCAAGTACTTGGGTACAGGAATGGTTCCCCAGCCCTAGTCCTGGCACACCAGAGTGTGCCCTGCAGTTCTGGGTTGGAACAGGGAGTTGGGGAAGAGTCCTGGGCACTCCCATCCCTACCCTTTCCCCACCCCACACACCACCCAGCTGTAGGCAGTAGAGGCCTGTGGAGTAGGGGTGTTAACGGCATCTGTTGGATGGAGACCAGGGATGCTGCTAAATATTTACACAGGTCAGCCCCTCACTGCAAAGACTGTCCAGCCCCAAATATCAACAGTGGGATCTGAGGAAGCAAATGGAGCCTATGGGACAAAACATAAGCCACGGCACATCCAGCTGGGGAGTGTATGGGTGTTGCTTTGATTATTCTTCTCATAACTTTCCTGTAATTTGGAAACAATTTCCAAATTATGGAAATTGGCTTTAAAGCCACTTTCATAGGTGCTCTTGGGATAATTACTTTATTGAACATTAAACTCCTGCAGAGAAACGTGGATCTACACTGATAGAGACTTATTTTTTCCTTTCCATTTCCATGTAATTCTAGCAACTTAACTATTCATCATTATCAAAACTAGAACTTCTTTTTAAAAAAAGTATATCACTTTACTTTTTTCAAATCAATTTCAATGTTTTTTCTTAAATTAGAAACCTAGGTTGAAGACAGTCCTTTCACCTATAATATCTCTGGGTAAGAAACAGCTTCTGAGGACAGAGCAGCGAACATATCTGGTGAGGTGACTTAATTATCAAAGTTCATGAGGACAATTCTAAGGAAATTAAGGCATCAAGGAATTTAATTATACACACTTTACACGTTCAATGTGCAAAGATCACAGGGCAGGTCATTCATTTGCCTAATTGTTTTTCTGGAGAAAGAGTTGGAGTGTGAAGCTGGGCTGCGTGAAGCTGGCTGGAGTAGTGACTGATGGCCTCAGAGCCAGTCACACAATCCAGCTTTCAGAGGCATCCAAAATGCAAAGTGACATCACGTCACATGTGAAATTAGGTCTATATCTGGAGAAGGGCAACAAGCTGCAGACGTATTTTCCCAAAGCTTCACATGTGAAAAACATTTGTGTTTTTAGGCCACATTAGGACGTTAAGATATAAAATTAAATACATCCATCATGGATGCTCTTCTCAAGAACGTGGCGATCTTTTTGGAATCCAGCAAATTCAAAGAATCCATCAGTTAGAAACTGAGAGCTTATTTCCTGTGTAGCCTGCCTGTTTCTCAATAATTCCTTCAAAGGTAAAACGATATAAATAGGTTCACAAGAGACTACATGCTGAGTTATTTACTAAATATCTCATGAAATCATCTTTGTATGTAAGCAAGTGAAATATAAAGAAAGACTCCCTCTGTGAGACGTAGTAGCAGACAGCCTCACACTCCTCCTCCCTTTTCCTGCTCGCCCCACATCTGGGCAACCTGATAAAAAAGTATCTGCTCACACCCGGTGGCCTGTCCAAGCCCATGGTGCTTGTTGTAATTTCAAACCACCCAAAACCAGCCCGAGCATGGGAACCTCTTCCGGGCTCACCACTAACTACAACAAAAGCCCAAAGCCCTTCCTTGTGGCTTCTCACCAAACCAGAGCCCTTGTCTGTGGGGAAACCGGTCTGCTGTTAGCTACTGTGAGTCACAAGCCTTGTTTCACATGCATTGGCATCCAAGACACATTTGTCCCCAACTCTGTAATTCCTGGGGGGTGCGGGGTGGTGTCTGTCCAGAGATGGCAGGCAGCACAAATAGAACACCAACTGAGGACTTGTGCATAATGATTTCACAGAATCACTTGCCAAGGTGCTGAGAAGACTCCAGTCTAGGAATGCTTCCAAAGACGAAGGGGAGTGGACACACTTTCATTCATATTCATGTACCAAAGCAAATGTCTCAAAGAGAAGTTAATAACCCACACGGTTAAATTTGAAGGGACAAAATTAAACCCTAGAGAATGGAATGCTGCAGACCTAACTTCACTTGGCAATTTTATTTTTAGTACTCTCACAGAAACACTCAAAATGAAAAGTTTTCCAAGACCAGTAACAAACCCTAGAAATCTGACTCTGGAATTGCGGTTACAAAATGAAGGGAGGGAGCAAGGTGGGCTAAGGTGGAGTGTTAGGTGTGATGACATGACCCTGTGCCTGTGAATCACAGAGTCATAAATCAATGTTACATTTAAAAAAATATAGATGGGGCCCTGCCCTGGAGGCACAACAGGTTAAGGTGCAGCACTGCAAGCCAGCAGCAGCCGCTTCAGTGCGAGTTCGATCCCCTGCCCTGGAGCTGACCCACATGGCGTGGCAGACCTCTCCTGACCCGCCCGCTGCTCCCCCCAGCAGTGTGCTTTGTTGATCTGCCTGTTCTGCTCCCCGCTCTGTCTCTGGTGAATCCTCTCACTGCACCTGTGCCTCTGGCCTGTACCCAAGTTCTGTATGGATAAATAATTAAATCTTAAAAAAAAAAAAAAAGAAGAAGAAAAGAATATCATCTTTATAAAATACAGTTGAGAAAAAAAGTTTTCTCTATCTAAAACTCTGCATTAAAACACAGAACCCCAGCTCTTACCCAAACGGCACTCCGAGGGCACCCAAGGGAGTCACCAGGACTGTGGGGACCGCCGTGTAAGCCAGGAAGTTTCCAATCTGGCCAACAGCCACTGTTGAGAGAACCACAAAGGTATCGCTTGCAGCTACACAGCTCTCTTTTGGCCCTGATCATACAGTTGGTTTGGCAAGGTTCTGCTCAAAAAGCTGGTTCTTTTCCACTACTTGTGAGGAAGGAATTATGGGGCGCTATTTGCATGTTTAAGGGTCCTGAGGCAGGGAATAGCAGGCCCCACAGCTTCCCTGGACCAATTAGCTGGGGAGGGTAGGGGGGTGGTTTCTACCCTCTGTGGAAATTGCCAATTTGGGAATTGGCCACCCCAGATGTGTCAAAGTAGCATATGGATTATTCTGAAAAAGAAAGTCAACCAACAAGTGATATCACAAGTGATACTTTCTCCAAAGAGCTAGAATTTTCTCTGATCCTCCCCCACTGATTCCCCCTGAAAGCAGGAAATGGCTCTCTATGTGAAAGGTGTCCTCCCTGCACTGAGACAGAAACACACCCTTATTATCAGAGGCAGAGGCTGGAAGTTGTGTAAACAAGCTCTGCTGAGCTAAATGTGATCTCTCTAAACCCAAACTCTCCAGAATGTCTTTGTTCTGTGTATTCTCCCCTATTCTCCCCTATACAGACTGGCTGCGTTGGCCTTTCCTAAGGTTCCATGCTTTATGGGCCTCCATGAACACACAATTAAAGTTGCCCTTTCTCTTGTTAATCTTTATAGTGTTATTTGGCCAGCCAAAGGAACCACAAGAGGTGAGAGGGGAGTTTCCCTGAAAATTTCTCCAACACCAGCATGATGGCAGTGGGTGTCACACAGAATGTGCTTACGCTGTCTGTAAACACATTTTTGTTTCAAGAGGACTCATGCAGCGATGCCAATGTCCCCTTGCAGGCCCTGCCAGTGTCCCCTTGCAGGCCGGGGCTCGCTCCACTGCTGCTGGGGCCACAGTGACACCCTGCTGACCACCAAGTGGGAGTGAGCCCTCCCGCCTGCCACGCTGTACCAAGAGCGAGTGTCAGTCAGCACCTACTAGATCATTTCTTGCCTATGAGACCTTGGCAAATAGACCTCATGATATTGCTGAAATGTATACAGTTTTTCTTTACCATTCTGAACTCTTGTTTTATTCTTTATTTTCAAATCAGAGCACGAACCCTGATCTGGTACTTAAGGCCAAGTAAAAAACTTTCCTTCATAAAAGCAATTATATTGAACAAAAAACATGGAATTTCACCACAAGCCAACAGCTCAACCACTGATGAGTAAGCAGCAACTATTCTAAGTGCTTGGTGGGGGGGTGATGGGGGGTGGGGTAGGACAGTGTGACCCTGATAGAATTCAGGGCTACATCACAGGCAGCAAGAGCCTCTGTTAACTCATTACACCCACCTCCCCCTCTGGCGGACCAGTGACCGATCTCCACAAAGACAGAAGACAGGAAGAGAAGACTTACTTGCAATTGTGCCTGCCCACCAGACAATATCTGTTAAATACGAAGTACCTATGAAAGAAGAGATCACAATGTCAGGAAAGCATGGAGCAAGAGGTTTACAGTTACCTACATAACAGAGGACTCTTTAACATGAAAACTAAAATTGTTATAATAATGAATGCTGGGCCCTCCCTGGTGGCGCAGTGGGTTAAAGAACAGCACTACAAAGCTAGCTAGTACCCAGCCTCAGCACAAGTTCGGTTCCGGGCCAGGGAGTTGACCCACAAGGTGCAGCAGACCTCTCCTGTTGCTCCCACTGATCCCCTCAGCAGTGCATTTCAGCTTGTTCTGCCTCCCCACTCTGTCTCTGGTGAATCCTCTCATGGCCCCTGCATCTCTGGTCTGTATCCTGGTTCTGTGTGCACAAATAAATACATCTTTTTAAAAAAAAGTCATATTTTCTGTCTGGGTATCTATTGGAGTTGTAGACCAAAGGTCCCACAGCGCCTCAGTCCAGAGCTCACCCCCCCACCTTGATTCAGCTCTGCCTGAAGGTCAGAGTTCTTGCCCATCCAGACTCTCACTGAGCTGGCTCCTTCCTGGCTCCTTCCTCCTACAGCCAGGATGCCTGGGAGCCTACATCCCATATTAGTTTTCGATCAGCACAGGTATTTTTCTCTTAGGTTCTACAACCTCTTGGCTTTTTCACAGTTTTACCCTCAAGCATGGCTGTCCATACAGGTTCAGAGCCACTCACCCGAAGGAGGCACCTGTTCAACTCTATGACAAGCGCCCCCTCTCCCCCGCTGATGTTTGGACTCTTCAAGCCCTCTGTCCTCAGTAAGAAGAGGGGCCTCAGGACTGCAGACCCTGAAGATGCTGCCTGCCTCCTCTCCTCTCCTACGTGTGGGTTGCAGAGGTAAAAAGGGCTAAGCCCAGGGTCATTTTTCCCCTCATATTGGAAATCTTGAATTAACCTAGAGCTGAATGGTTGTTTAGATGGGCTGAACCAGACAGAGAAGAGCTGTGAAAATACCAAAGGGACTTGTCAGGACGATATGAATTGGCAGGGATGTTACCTAACCACGGACCTGTAGTTTCTGAAGCCTTCCCCATGCTCATACATGTGTATCGCAAATATGACTTTCCGCCACAAAAACACATGCGTTTTACCTAATTCATTTACTTTCTGACAGTAACACAGAAAAATTACTTTCACTCAGGTATATTTCCATCAGTAACAATAGAGATTACTACAGGCAAAGCCAGGGTGGAGCACTGTGTCCCTAGAGCATTAACTGCTGCTTTGACTTAAAAAAAGCCAAGTAAATGATGCTACAATGAAGCTACAGTGTAAAAACGATACTGTATTGCTTTTATAGAGTTCTTTAAAAGGGACTTACAATCAAGAACTTTTCTTTCCCTATAGGAATATGGCAGATGAAGGCATTAATTAGACCAGTTTAAGCACTCGTATTCACCAACTTCTGAATGGATTTGGTACTTGGATTTCTCTTGTATATTCATTTAAATATGTAGAACTTATTTTCCCAAAGAAACAGTTTGGTGATCTTAAAAGAGAAGAGCAAAGTTGTAGGACTTCAATTATCCAGTTTAAGATTTAGTATAAATCTACATAATCATCAGAGTGTGGAATGGCATAAGGAGAGACACAGAAAATGAAACAGGACAAAATTCAGAAATAGACCCACACATGTAAGTGAGATGATGGACTGAAATAGCAGTAAAATTCCATGGGAAAGTCTTTTAGCAAATGGTGCTGAAAGCAACTGGGTATCAACAGAGAAAACTAAACCATGATTTCTGTCTCAGTCATACATAGAAATGAATGCAAGACCACTTACTGACTGGAATGTGAAAGCTAAAGCTACAGATGTCTACAAGAAGGTACAGAAGGGAGCCGTGTGACCAGAGAGTCCAAGATTCCTCAAGCAGACGTCAGAAAGCACCAACCACAGTCAAAAAGAAAGGTAAGTTAGCCTCACCAAAAGTCAAAATTCTGTTCTTTAAAGGGTTCCATTAAGAAAATGAAAAGGCAAGCCACAGCAAAAATATTTGCAATTCCTAGATCTAGCGAATTACTTTTATCCAGAATACACACACACTCCTCTAGACCATACCACCTTTAATGAGCCATATCTCTTCATACAGGGCCCTCCCTGGTGGCACAACGGTCCATCTGCCTGTTCTGTTCCCCGCTCTGTCTCTGGTGAATACTCTCACCCCACCCCCTTGCACCACCTCTGGCCTGTATCCCAGTTCTGTAAACATGAATAAATAAATCTTAAAAGAAAAAAAAGAATAGACTCACACACACACACACACACACACAAAACACAGTCAATCAATAGTAAAAAGATAAGCTCCAAAAAACAAAGTAGAGGCAAAATCTTGAGACACCTTGCAAAAGAACACACACAATGGCCAATAAACTCATTGAAAATGCACATCATGAAGTATCAGGGAAATGCAAATTCAAATTACAATGGGGTGCTGCTGTACACGTATCAGAATGGCTAAAATTAAACAATATTAAATGCTGGGAGAATACAGAGCACCAGAAACTCTCATTTGCTGCTGATGAGAGTGTAAAATGGTACAACTATAGTGTGGAAGTGTTGAGCAGTTTCTCAAAATTTAATTACATAACTACTGTAGAATTCAGCACTGTTACCCCAAATTGTTTATTCAAGAGAAATGAAAACTGAGTCCCAAAAAGGAATAGTGTATATAAGAATTACCACTGCAGCCTTATTCTAATAGAAAAAAACTTGGAAACGATAAACATGCTCATTGACAGGGGAATGGATAGCAAATTGTGATCTACTAATTTTTAAAAGATTTTATTTATGCATACAAAAACTGGGGTGTAGGCCAGAGTTGCAGGGGTGAGAGAATTCACCAGAGCCAGAGTGGGGAGCAGAACAAGTGGATCTACTGAAATACTTTGCTGCGGGGAGCAGAGGGTGAGACAGGAGAGGTCTATTGCCCCACACGTAGGTCAGCTCCCTCACTAGGCATCGAATTCAGGCCGCAGCAGTGACAGCTGCGTTGGTTTAGAGACCAGTATGGTTTAGAGACCATACTCAGGTGCTGAAACACTGCTCAGCAATACAAGCAATGTACACAAATCCTGATGAATCTTCAAGAGATGCACAGCAAAAAATGTAGACATAAGAGAAAACATATCTATATATGTGTATACATATATATATATATATATATAGTAAGATTACATTTATATGAAGCTCAAAAACAGGCAAAACTAATTTAATCTAAGCAAATGAACATTAAAAGAATGGGCATTCTGGTGTAGGAAGGATAGAATGATAAAGGAAATGAGGAAATAATCTTACTGGGGTGCTGGTTAGACAAGTATATTGGTTTGTATAAATCATCACACTGTACCTTTAAGAGCTGTGCATCTGACTATGTATTTACACTCCAATACTTCAAAAAATGAAATTGTTTATAAACAGTTAAACCTCTAGATTAGCTCACACAACACTGACCGTCACATAATAAATTCTGTGATAAAGTTTCTCACAGTTTCTGTGGGAAATGACATTCTGTGCTTCAAAGAGAAAATGAATCCGTATAAACTGGCACTTTCTGTCCTTGCCCCACAGAGCAATAGCTTTGTTCTGTTTCCTTCATCTGTTTATCAAATATTTACTAGAGCCATCAATGACTGACTGTACAGTGGATATTTTATAACCTTAGTGGATACAGAAACTGAAGTGGAGGTCCTGCTCTTGAAGAACTTTTTTTTTTAAAGATTTATTTATGCTCACAGAACTGGGGTACAGGCCAGAGGTGCAGGGGCCATGAGAGGATCCACCAGACAGAGTGGGGAATGTAACAGATTGACAAAGTACACTGCTGAAGGGAGCAGTGGGCAAGACAGGAGAGGTCCACCACACCATGTGGGTCACCTCCCTGGCCAGGCATTGAACTTGTGCTGAAGCGGCCATGCACAGCGTCATACTGCTGCACCTTAACCCCCTATGCCACCTGGCAGGGCCCGAAGAACACCTTTGTCCTTACCCTAACTGCAGTTTTCTCACCCTCCCTCTCCTCAGACACTCAGGCTGCCCCCACCCACCCTGAGAGCAGAGAAGCCTCCTTCTGTGACAGGTACATGACAGCTGCTTGTACCTGTACTAGGTGTGCACTGTGCTTGGACAGAAAGATCTAAGATAACGAGCTCTCAGCTATGACTCCTAGGCAGGAACTGCAGCAGAGAGAATCCAGAATGTCAAAAGCCTCCAGCATATTCAAGTACACAACTCTCCCAAGACTGTCTCATGAGGCCTCTCCAGGAAGGAAAACCCCCTCAGTGCCCCACACTCTGGCACTGGTCAGCTCTCTGGGCAGCCCAATGTCCCATCCCTTCCATCTCCACCTGCTGTGCTCCAGAATTATTCCAGTATTATAACTGGTTTTCCACAGATGCCTTCACATCCCAAGCTGGTCTTGTAATCTCTCTTTTTTCCCCACAAAAGACTTGTTTCATGTCTTTTGAGCTCCAGCACTAGACATACTATTAATGATCTGTGGACTCAGTTGCTTCCCTGCTCACTTTCCATCTGTGTCATAACTGACTCCTCCAAAGACATCCAGAAGCCAAGTTAATATGTGTCTTATTCTCCTCATTTGTAAGATGAGTTATGCTGATATTGGTGATGCTGATAGCAAATAGATTGAAATGTTGACAAGATTAAATAAGTTACAACACATAAAGAACTGATAACAGTGCCTAATATTTGCCAACCATTGAATAAACATTAGCTAGTAATAATATATAACTTGAACAAATAGTAAACGTTCAATGACTACAAGAAGGAGCTATGTCTAGTTAAAGAATTATTGCCTCAAGATTGTTCCAGAAGAGATAAAACATTGAAAACACCCAGGATGGGATGGTTATCTGCAGGGGGCATGAGCTAGCAGATTACGCTATTCCTTTACTACCTAAGCAAGAACTACTTTAATTTCTATGCAGCAAACCAGGCTCTCAAGAGAACACACACCTCCCAAGTCTTCTGCTTCGAATATATGGGCTTTCAGTCGTGTTATGGAGAGATTGCTAAAGAACAGCCCATACATCAC